GCCTCTGCCCGCCCCCGCACCCCGCACACACACCCGCGCCCTGTACTGACGCCTTCATTCTGTACCCGCACCACGCCCGCACCTCGCGCAAGCAGGCCACTTGCTGCTGGCGACCCCTCGCTCTCACATAACACAGAAGAGTGCACATAATGAACGCAGCCTCCTCTCTCCCTCGAAGGCCCATCTAGCCTGACAGCAGGAGGGGACTGGGGCCCACATGGAGGCCGAGGGCTCATGTGCTGCCCTCCACAGGACTCATTCCTCACACCCTCAGGAAGAGATGCTGCCAGATCCCTCCTGCCCAGTCTCCATCAGCCACACATGTCACAAAGGCTGCCTGGCCAGGAGGAGCCGCCCAGAAGGCCGGACATACACACTGGGACACTAGCATGAGAAAGTGAAGGGGTGGGGCCTGCTCCCTCACCTTGGTCCCAGCCCCTCCCTTCCCCCTCACTTCTCCAGAGAACGGTTGCTGGGGTGTCTGGAATGGAGGTCCCAGGAGGCGACATTCGGAGTCCAGGCCAAGGGACCCTGAGCCAGGGAAACAGGGGCTGCTCCATCAGCAATTTGGGGGGCCTGAGAGCTCATAACCACCCTGCTCAGGTAAGGGTACACATTCTCCCCTTTTCCAGCATGGTCCACCTGTCTGCCCCCTGCTTTTGCCTAGAGGAAGAGAGCCCACACACCCCAACCCCCTCTTGAAAGCCGTCCTGGAGGCCAAGGAGGAGGAGAGTGCAGGGAAGCAGGCAGGAGGCAGGGCCGACCCGGTTTCCCATAAAACAGCCTTCCCTGAGGCCTGGCACCAGGGCTGCTGTCCAGAACCAGAACCAGGACTTTAGACCACTGGGCTCCAGCAACCCCACACTCTCCTCTGACAGGGTCTATCCTGGGCAGGCTCTGAGGAGGGGGTTTCCAGCAGCCAGCTCTGGATTTGGGTCACGCTGCTGCCCTGACATGACCTCCTTACTGCTCCCCAAGGACCAATTCTGGGCCTATCCTGCTTATCCCTCTCACCTCGTGGCCAGCCCAGAGCAAGCCCCAGAAGCCACAATAAATGTTGTGTGGATAAGGGAGGGGATAAAGGGATTCTGAGTGCCGGCAGCCAGGGCCCTTCTGGGCCAGGATGCATTTGGCATAGGACTGCTGGGCAATTAGTAGACCACACGGCAACAAGTCCCTGCCATCGACCCACCTGCACCCAGAAGACACTAGAGGACAAGAAAGTCTCAGGCCAAAGGCAAATGCTGGGCCACCTGGGGAAGTCCCCAGCTGAGGAGGCAGAGGGATCCTGACCTTGACTTCAGCAGGACCATAGCAGGAAGGGAGACCCCATCCATGTCAGACTTGGACTCAGAGAACCCTGGGCCATCCTAACAGACAGACTGGCATGGACTCGAGAAAGGACTGGAGGCCAAGTCTGAGGTTTGTTCTTGGCGTTGTGTTTAACCCCACAGGAGTTTCTTCCAGCACCTGCTGGAAGCATCCGCACTTTCCCTTTCTGAGCTCTGGAAAGACGAGGTAGGGCCACACAATAGAATACAAATAACAAGCCAAGCACAGTGGCTCACGCCTGTAATCCCAGCACTTTGGGAGGCCAAGGTGGGTGGATCACCTGAGGTCAGGAGTTTGAGAGCAGCCTGGCCAACATGGTGAAACCCCGGCTCTACTAAAAATACAAAAATTAGCCGGGTGTGGTGGCCCATTGCCTATAATCCCAAATGAGAATCGTTTCTACCTGGGAGGTAGAGGTTGCAGTTAGCTGAGATCAAGCCACTGCACTCCAGCCTGGGTGACAGAGCAAGACCCTGTCTCAAGAAAAAGAATACAAATAACAAGACAAACAAAAGAAAATTGCACCCCTCTGTAAGTTGGACTCTTTCCAGGCTACTATGAAACCACACACACTCCTACCGGCATGTTCAGGAGATGATAAAGTGGTGCTGGCATCCTAATGACAGCTGACACTGATTGTGCAGTTTACATGTACTATCTCATTTAATTCTGAAACAATCCTATTAAGCATGTACTATTATTATCCCCATTTTACTAGATGGGATAACGGAGAGACAGAGAGGTACAGTAATTTACCCACAGTCACACAGCCATGGAATGACTATGACTCAAACCCCAGTGTCCCATAAAACCTCCTTTGCCTTACACACACACACACACACACACAAACACACACATACCAACAAACACATCCATACAAACAGACCCACACTTACACGGCTTCCTGGAGCCCTGAGTGGTGGACACGGCAGCACACTCGGTAGTCTTTTATAAGGTCATCTTTCTTGGTTTTTGTTTTTTGTTTTGTTTTTTGACATGGAGTCTCACTCTGTTGCCCAGGCTGGAGTGCAGTGGCACAGTCTCAGCTCACTGCAACCTCCATCTCCTGGGTTCAAGCAATTCTCCTGCCTCGGCCTCCCGAGTAGCTGGGATTACAGGCACCCGCCACCCTAATTTTTGTATTTTTAGTAGAGATGGGGTTTGCTATATGGGCCAGGCTGGTCTCAAACTCCTGACCTCAGGTGATCCACCCACCTCGGCCTCCCAAAGTCCTGGGGTTACAGGCATGAGCCACTGCACCCGGCTGAGGTCATCTTTCAAAAGTTGAGAAGTTGCCCAGGACCAGGGTTACACAAGAATGTGGGGTCACTAAGAGATGCAATTTGAGATTCATTGTATCCTGTACTTCTCCCCGTCTTTTGTACCTGTTAGCACCTGGGACCCCCAGGCAGTCCCTCCTCCGAGCTGAAGTATTAGAGATATGAAGTGGAGCTACCCTGGCGAGCACAGGAAAGTTGGCATGATTGGGCACCAGACAGTGGGGAAGGACTGGGCTATCAGAGGCAGCCAGAATGTCCCTACCCAGACAGCCTGACCCCACACAGACACTCAAAAAACAACCCACTCCCCACCCTCAGACCCAGAGGGCTTCTCCCTAGCAGAGGGAAATGGCTAGAAGGGAGAAAGTCTTCCAGCCATGACCTCTGGTCCCAGATTCCAGAAGCCCTCTCAACTGGTTTTGGCTCTGGTCAGAGAGGCCCAGACTTCCCCCTCTTCTCACCCCTACCTTCAGGAAGGGCCCACTTTCACCCCCACCCCTGTGTCATCTCTGCCTCCCACCTTGTCCTTTCAAGCTTGCTTTCGTAAACGAGGAGGGCTCTCCCTCCCAGGTGGCAGCTGGGGAGGGTGTGGGGAATATCAGTTCTGGGAGGTTATTGTTAGGACAGTCACCATGGCAACAAGCATCACATCTGCAGAGCCAAAAGTGCTGCACATGGGGTTCATTATCCCAAAGAAAGCCACGCCTTCCCTGTCCCCCTCACCTCCAGGGACTGCTGTCATGTGGGAGGGTGTCACCACACTTCCTCTCTCAGGCCCAGCCATCCACCAGGGAGAGCAGGCTGTGGTTCCCAGAGCAGGAAGACCCTAGTCCATCCATCTCCCATCATCTGGCCCTTGACATGGCACTCCTTACAGGACACAGTGGCAAGCACATGGAGTGGCTATGGTGGTGATGGTGATTATAATGATGGTAATGATGGTGATGGTGGTGGTAGTAGTGATGGTGGTGATGATAGCGATGGTGGTGGTGGTGGTGATTATGATGGTGGTGGTGTCAACGGTGGTGTCAATGGTGGTTGTGGTGGTGATAGTGGTGATGATAATGATGGTGTTGGTGATGGTGGTGGTGATGGTGGTGGTGATGATGGTGGTGGTGATGGTAATGGTGGTGGGGATGGCGATGGTGGTGGTGGTTATGATAATGATGGTAATGGTGCAGGTGGTGGTGGTTGGTAGTGATGGTGGTGGTGATAGTTGTGGTGTCAGTGGTGGTGGTGTCAATGGTGGTGGTGATGGTGGTGATGATAATGATAATGATGGTGTTGGTGACCATGATGGTGGTGATAATGGTGATGGTGATGATGGTGGTGGTGGGGATGGCGATGGTGGTGGTGGTTATGATAATGATGGTAATGGTGCTGGTGGTGGTGGTTGGTAGTGATGGCGGTGGTGATAGTTGTGTCAGTGGTGGTGGTGTCAATGGTGGTGGTGATGGTGGTGATGATAATGGTAATGATGGTGTTGGTGACCATGATGGTGGTGGTAATGGTGGTGGTGATGGTGATGGTTATGATGGTAATGGTGGTGGGGATGGCGATGGTGGTGGTGGTTATGATAATGATGGTAATGGTGCTGCTGGTGGTGGTCGGTAGTGATGGCGGTGGTAATAGTTGTGGTGTCAGTGGTGGTGGTGTCAATGGTGGTGGTGATGGTAATGATAATGAAGGTGTTGGTGACGATGATGGCGGTGGTAATGGTGGTGGTGATCGTGGTGATGATAATGATAATGATGGTGTTGGTGACGATGATGGTGGTGGTGGTGGTGGTGATCGTGATGCTGCTGATGGTGGTGGTGGTGGGGATGGTGATGGTGACGATGATAGTGGCGATAGTGATGGTGATGATGAAGGCCATAGCTACAGTTTACAATTCACTCACCACATGCCCGAAACCATTCTAAAAGTCCAACATCCACCATTTTGAATAAACTTCATAGCATTATCATTACCTCCCTTTTACAAATGAGGAAATCGAGACACAGACTCTAACTGGCCTCAGGTCAGACAGCTAGTTTAGTATTGGCATCTCAATCTGCCTGACTTTGTGGCTGGTTCCTTTAACCACTGTGTTCTGCTCAAGGGTGTCCACCAGCCTTCTTTGTGCGGTTACTGTGTGCCCGTCTCTGCCCAGGCACTCAGTCACATCAGGGAATGAGATGGACAAGACTTCTGCCTTTGCAGAGCTTGATAACAAGCAACAAGGATGCATCTAGTACCAATGTTGTATGTAGATTAAAACAAAGTGGTGTGCTGCAGAGTGATAGGGTGGCAACTTCAGAGTGGAAGTCCACGGAAGACCTTTCTGAGGAGGTGATGTCTAAGCTGAAGTCTGAATGACACAGAGAGGCTACCCTTGAGAGGAAAAGGGCAGGGTGTTGGCAGAAGAGGCTGCCATGCAAAGGCCCTGTGGCAGGCACTAGCTGGTGTGTTTAGGGAATGAAGAGGGTGGGAAAGAGGCTGAAGCAGTCAGACCCCGCAAGGGCATTTTGTCAGTGGCTTATTGGCAGATTCGCCTGAGTCCTCCAAGGGATCTGGAACCACCTTGATGACTAACAAGCAAAGTGATAAAGCCAACTAACCAGTGCGGCCCTGGCCGGAAGCAGTGTCCGCAGGCCTGGCTCAGAGGCACAGCCCGAGAACACAGGGTGAGAACCCCCTAGACTTCCTCCCTTTTCACCAGGCATCCAAGCATAAAGTGGACACCAGCACCTGTCCCAGAGATACTGTGCCCTTGGGCAAAGGGAGGGAAGCGAGAGCAACCCCTGCTAAGTCTGCTGCCAGGCTGAGGCTCTGGGCCACCCCCCTGCTGGCTGGGGTTCCCTGGAGCACCCCTGGCACTGTCTGGCTGCCAGGTGAGGTGAACCCTTCCTGACTGACCCCACCTTAGCTGTCCTCATTGGTGTCACCTCCATCCTCCTGGAGTTGCCTCAGGCCCTAGGCACTAGAAGTCCAGGCACTGTCCCAGCCCAGCCAGGCCCCCAG